TCCTGAATCAGCAGCGCCCGCCACGGCTTCATTTCAATCTCCTCGTTTCCTTTCCGGGACTCGACAAGGCGCTCCTCAATTCCTTTGGCCCCTCGTCTTCTTGCCTTGCCTCCACCGCGTTTCCTTTGTTCATCCCCTTTTGCTCTGTTGCCCTCCTTATTTCTTTTCCTCATCGACTTTGACGATTTTTCCCCGTCGTCGTTTGAACTCGTCGTTTCCTTTCCTGGTCTCTTTGACCCTTGTCTCCATTCTTTGCTTCCTCATCTCCTTCGCCCGCTTCTCTCCTGGACGGGTTTCCTCATCTCCTTTTTCTATCCCTTGTCTTCTTTCCTTGTTGGGCGCGTCGGTAAAAGTACACATCGCTTCTTGCAAAAATAAGTCCACATGGGCCGCAGGTGTGCAAACACTTGAATTGAGTTGTTTTTTGTTTGTTTTGAGGTTTTTTTTTTTTCCCCCCTTCGAGGGTGGCGCGTTTGTTCCATTCCAAGGCTTTGAGAAAGTCGCCGACGCCCCGCTCTCCCAACCACAAAGAGTTCCCGCGGGATGCCTCACTCTGTGTTTGAATCATATCAAAGAACACATTTTTGTTTTTTGTGCTAACACAAACGGCATAACGACCGCCCGGATTCCATTCGCCGTTCGCCTTGGAAGTGCAAACACGCTCCTCACACGCACGCACGCAAAGGAGACAGAGTGGCAGCCTGAGGCCGCATTTTTGTGGCGGGCGTAGCTTAGCGGTCAGGACACTTTAAACTTTGACTAAGTGGCGCACGCGCGAGCGCGTGGAACGTGGCGCTTGCAAATCACAGATTCCATTCGCGCAAAACACGTCGACGGGCGGACGCTCCTTGAAGGACGAATGGTGTCGACGGCCCTCCAAGTGGCCATTTTTTGGAGAGCGTTTTGCCAACACGAGGCCGCCAACAGCCAAGATAAGAAAAACGTGAAGTTTTGTGGTTCATTTTCGTGGACAATTGTATCGGTTTGTCGTGGTGAAGAAGGAGCAGAATCGAAAGTCGACGCTCTGGCTTTATCGCCCTCAGCTCTGGTCACCAGCGGTGGGTCGTGGCCGAAAGAACGAGATCCCGGATACGGGCGGCCGAAATGAGTGTCCTTCCTCCCCGGGGCGTCTGGGCTCTTCCATCCGAGAGGGGGGCAGAGTCGAGCCGCCAGATGAGGCGACTCGGGCATCTGATTAGGATGCCGCCCCGGTGAGGAGTTCCGGGCATGTCCCACCGGCAGCAGGCTCCGGGGACTCCCCGGGACACGCCAGAGAGACGATGTCTCCCGGCCGGCCCGGGAAGGAACACCTTGGGATCCCCTGGGTTAGAGCTGGAAGAAGTGGCTGGGGCATCTGACTAGGATGCCTCCTGGAGGCCTCCCTGGCGAGGTGTTCCGGGCGTGTGCCACTGGCAGAAGGCCCGAGGGACAACCCAGGCCACGCTGGAAAGACCGTGTCTCTCGGCTGGCCTGGGAACGGCTCGGGACCCCCCCTGGAAAAAGCTGGAAGATGTGGCTGGGGAGAGGCAAGTCTGGGCGTCCCCGCTCAGGCTGTTGCCCCCGCGACCCGACCCCAGAAGCTTTAGCGTCCATTGACGAAAAAAAAGACATTGGTTCACTTCTCCCATCCCATGTCAATCCGCTTCAATTCCGAGCGCCGACTCCCAGTTCCAAATACGCATCCGCACTCCGCGTCCACGCGCTTCCCTCCTCAGCTTCAGCGGACATCCGTCCGGCCGCACTAACGCGGACTGTCCGACAACGCCGCTGAACAAAACAGGCCGGTGAAAACTTCCGTCTGATGCTGCGGATGAGAAAGGGGGAGCAGCGGAAAAGTTTTGCTCAGTGGCCTGCCGCTCGCTACTGGGTGGATGAAAGACGAAAGAAAACAACGACAAAACAGACACACTTTGTGCCCGTGTGCATCCCATCACCTGACAATCAAGCGTGCGCAAGTTCTCAACCGTAACGGGTGCTATGAGTGTGTGTGCGCGCGCACGCGAGCGCGCATGTTCCTGCAGCAAACACGCCGTCGCCGTGGCGACCATTCATCACTCCAGTTAACCTCCCGTGACCTGCATGAGTGTGGTATGACCGAGGGCGTTGAACCCTGACACACACACACACACACACACACACACCATCAGTCTCCCATGATGCTTTGCAGAGGAGAGCAAAACTCAGCGGGATCGCTCCTTTTTTCCAATGCAATCCATTAGATTTTTTTTTGGGGGGGGGGGGGGTTTGTTAATCAAAGGACTCCTCCCAGGGCCAGAACGGGGGCCTTCCATGACATTTGGGGACAGACAGCATTTTTTTCCAGCACCGGTGGGTCGGAGGAGAAGTTGGGATAACGAAAAAGGAAGGGTGATTTTTTTTTTTTTTTTCTTTAAGGGTGGCAGCTTGTCGACGTTCGGAGACTTAACGCACGTCGCCTGCTTTCTTTGCGTCAAGTGTTTTTGTTTCTGTGAGTGCTACAATATCACCACCTGCTGCGCGTTTGAAGTCTTCGCAAGTTGAGAAAAAACAAAAAACAAAAAAAAAGCAAGGACTCATTCAAAAGACATTTATTCAAGTTTAAACAGGGCGAAAAAAAAAAAACAACGTAAATACATGAGTAAAAATGCTTTAAAAAAAATTAAGACTTTGCTAGTACACAGTAAAAGTCTAAAACGTGACCTGACAAAAAAGAACGATTCAACCGATTTCAGACACGGCGGCGTCGATCAAACGCACGCGCCGCAGTCGAGGCTCCAATGGCCGCCCGTCACCTCGCTGCTCTTCGGGAGTGTCTTGAGGAGACTCGCGGTCGCCATGGAGACCACGAGTACGCATCCCGGTCGAGGTGGACGACGTCATCGAATCAGCATCCGACTCCCCGCGGAGTCCATTGATACGGTCCGATCGCCGTGACGACGTCAGAAAGTCAGCCTCTTGGTCGTCATGAACGAGTTACTCCTCATCCTCGTCATGGAGACGTCGGTGTTGGTTGTCGTGGAAGCAAGCGTCCGGACAACGGGACTCTGCATCTTCGTCGCCGTGGCAAACGAGTCACTCGGCATCCGAGTCAGCGTGGAGACTGACAAACAAACAGTCACGGAGCCCGCCCGCAAGCCGATTGCCACGGCAACCACTCGACGCCCTGGTCGCCATCGCCGAGTGAGCAAGCATCCCGGTTGCCACGGAGACAATGACCGAGCACGCCGGTGGCCGCGGAGCCCAGCGACTCCGCATGTCTGTCACCACGGAAACGGCGCCGGAGCATCCCGGCCGCTAGAAACCGTCGGGGTCGTACGTAAGCAGGAAGACGACGATGCCGGTGAGCGCGACGGTCGTGGTGAGGAGCAGCGCGAGGAGCAAAGCTCGACACACAGGCCGGCCCGTCAATCGGAACAAGGCTCCGCCCACGCCGCCGGTTCCGCCGGCGTTCCGGGAGGGAGGGCTCGGCAGACCCACGTCCAGCGACCTTACGGTGCACCGCCGCTGACTTTGCGATAACCTTGCGAATAGACAGGAGACACAAGCTTGTCAAGTTGCCGGCACCTGACATGCGACAATTTCCAGGACACGGACGGCTTTCCGTTGCATCTCTTCGACTGTCTTTCTTCCATCTTCAGGCAGCGTTTGATGTTAGGTTTCATTTCTTTTAAAGCGGGGATTGTCAACAAAAAGGACAAAAGAATAGGGAGTTGCTTTTCAATCTCAGTCAGATCAATTCACTCCAAATCGGAACATAGCAGAATGTGATTTTTCAAAATTGCAAAGGCTGCAAATTATTGCATTCGGGTTTTTTTTTTTTGGTGTGGGTGTCTGACCCAACTTCATTCGTACTTGTTTGTTTACAAAAAGACAATTGGAAACCTTCTCAAAATCATGCCGCCCCTTTCCTTCGAAGCCGCACTCACCTCTTGACCTGCAGCTTGCCCTTGCTGCGCTGGAAGCGAACGCTGCAGACGCGTCGCATGGCGGGCGGCAGGGACGCCAGCACGTCGCCGTCGGTGGCGAGCCGAGGGAGCCCGAGGGCGGGCAGCGGCGTCACGCGGCGACACAGCGGGCAGCGGATGGCGGCGGGCTGCGCCGACTTGACGTTGATGCGGGCCAGGCACTCCAGGCAGAACGTGTGCCGGCACTCCAGCATCTTGGGGCAGCGGAAGACGTTATTGAAGTGGCTGTAGCACACCCAGCACTCCAGGTCCGGGGCGCCGTCCTCGGGGAGCGCCGACGGAGGTGGCGGCGGCGGCGGCGGGGACGGGCGCAGGCCGGGCGACGGGACGCCCACGCACACTTGGTACGACGGCGGGGGTTTTGCCGACCGTCGGGACCGCCGGGGGCGTGTACGGCGGCGGTCCCGGCTCGGCCGAGTTCAAGCAAGGATTCATGCTTGCGATTGAGGGGGAAACGCTTCACTTGGATGTGCTCACTTGTCACCTTAGGGCGGGGCTTCACCTTTGAACCCTGCAAATAGACAAAGGCGACCATTGTCAACTTTTGATATTTAAAATACGTTGAAATGGGGCTTATCCTGACTTTTTTTAATAATCGGAACCCGGTCTACTGCCTCCGGCTTGGAACGCCACTGTCAGGGTTCACCAGTTTTCTGGGTTTGGGTTCAAGACGTTCGCACTGCGAGCCCAAGGTTGGATGGCGCAACTTCAGTTTCGGGTGACAACAGCAGAGGGCGCTACGGAACAAAACGGCGGCACCCTCGTGTCGCCGATGAATCGCTTTTATTCTTCTTTCGCAAACGCAAAACGAATCTAAACTAGTCGCGGCCACGTTGAAAATAACTGCAACCCTCCCGTGAGTCGGCCTTCAAGTTTCGAGCAAAACCCAAACGTTGCTGTGTGGGTTCAGCACGCGATCGGTCAAATCGTCGCGCTTGCTCGTGGCGTCATCGTCTATTTAATTGGCATCGACTCACTGTTGCGCGTGGGGGCGTCGATTTCTAAAGAAATGTGACTTTGGGTATCAATCAGTACACGTCATCATCCAACTCTAAACCGATGGCTGCAATTCACATGGTCGCATCAAGACAGGTGCGATCACTTCGGAATGTACCTTTTCAAAGATGTTGTCGGCTTCTTTGGTGGAACTCTACCATGCCAAATTCACACAAAACTCAACCGGGCCGATGAACGTGAAATGTCCTAAAAAAAAAAAAAAAGTCCGTTGAGCAACTTGACGAAAGCGTGACGCGCCGTGCTCGTGAATCCAGTCCGGTGCTTTGGTCACTCGACAGGGGAGTCGAATCGCGTGTTTGCTGCTGGCCTCTTGATGAGCGAATGTGCGAAAGGAAGGCGGCGGCACATCAACTCAGCAGCTGACCTGCCGCAGATGCGCACCTGAGTCGGGTCAAGTTGATTGCCTAAAGACTTTTTTTTTTCCTTGTCGTTTTTGTTCTTCTTCGGTGTCTTCTTATGTCATGATTTTAAAAAAACAACAATCCAATGAAACATATTCTCGTCGCTTCCTTGCGAGAGCACGTTTGGTAATATCTCACGGTGATGTGACGTCCCAATGACTTTAAACTACACGTACCAATATGCGCACCGTTACCGTAAAACATGGGTACGTGGGATAGAAACGGTGCGCGCCATATTGGAAAGGCGATCCTTTCGGTTCATGCATGTGATGATTGGTGCGTTCACGGTCTCTCCGTGAAGGGTACTCTCCTACTCTTGTTACGCATTGTACCGTAAAACCTTCTGATCATGAACCGGAACCACCCCTAAAAAATTACATAGAAATCATAACTCAACACCGAAGTCATGTGACAGGCTCAGACAGATGATTGAAGTGTACGTTGTTGCGTCTTGGTTCTATTAGCAGTTGCGGTGCTAGGTCGCCCATACCCGAATCTCCGAGATTCTGGATGCCGGAAATGACGCGAGGCTGACGTTCCCATAAAATGTTCACTATCTGGGTGTGATGTATGTCATTTCTTTCAACCACCAAGCAATATAACATCCCACTCTACGCTAGAGTTAAAATTTCCGCAGCTGACACTTTGAATTTCCGGTCATTTCAAAACCCGTGATTGAACGCATCAAGGTTGTCTCCTAAGATTGATCTCGCGATACTTGAGAATATCGCCGTACATATTCTGAAACATCGCGATATCTCGGCGTGTCCATGTCGCAGGCAAACAAAAATGGCAGCTCGCTTTTCGTCCATGTGCTTCGCGTGAGCCGAAACGAATCGATTTTGTCAGTTGAAATCATTGGGATTTTTTTTTCTTTCCACCTTGTTTGAGAAGAGAAGTGAAGCTTTAAGCGTCGCGGCGAACAGAAAGACAACATGCAACACGACGACGTGAGTGAACCAAAACGAACAGCGAGTATCACGCTCACGCTAGCCCGATACTCGACCTCAAATATTTGTTGTTTGTGTTTACTTATGGCTTCAAGTTGTAATCGCGACGTTTCGTGTGATGTTGACGTCATTGTTGCAAATGTCTATTTTCTTAGCTACAAATAACGGAGGTCCTCGTGTAACCCAAATTCTTGTGTTTTCTGACCGTGCAGGTGATTTGGGACATTATAGGCAACAGGCAGTTCTGTTCCTACAAAGTCAAGTAAGTTTTATAAACGTCTTCATGAATTTGTTGCGCAGTGTGTCACAAAACAATCGGGCTGATGCTAGAAAGTAGGAAGATGTCAGCGAAAGCCAACTAGAACCGTTTGAGAATGTGTGTGTGTTTTCCCACTCCCCAGGACTAAAACTCAAAGTTTCTGTCGCAACGAGTTTAACATCACCGGCCTGTGTAATCGCTCGTCGTGTCCGCTGGCCAACAGTCAATACGCCACCATTCGGGAGGAGAAAGGTGCACAAGTGCAGCGAGCTGCCAACACTGCCATGTTGGAACGTACAGACGATGCGTGTTAACGTGATAATGTTGTTGTATGCCGGCGGCGCAGGGAATTGTTTCCTCTACATGAAGGTGATCGAGCGAGCGGCGTTTCCTGCCAAACTGTGGGAGAAGGTAAGCCCGACACCATCCCCGTTTCAGATAAACAAAAGGGAATATTTTCGCATCACATTCTCTCTGTCTCCGTTCACAGTTGTTCTTCAAGCTTCTGATCGAATAGCATTTTATTCGCTTTAGAAAGCCCAAGTTTGATAGAAGTGGTCATTTAAAAATTCGCTACTTACTCTCGTCAGTAGGTGGAAAGTGTCCTTACAAAGATTACAGGTCTTAAATGTGATGGAAGTAATGCTAAAAAGGGCTCGTAAAAGTGTGAAGGTGTGATTCCTGTCGACCTTAAATAGTCTTAACGTTTGATCATGGTGGTCTTAAAATCTTCCACTGAATAGCAATTGTGAAAGCCTTCCGTTTGGGATGAAAGACCCGCTGTAGAGGTCTTTGGAATGCTTAAAAAAAAAAAAAAAGGTCGTGAAAGTCATATGATTTGATTGATGGAAGGGTGAAGGAAGCGCACACTGAATGCCAACGACTGTTCATACGGACGCAGGTGAAGCTAAGCAAGAACTACGAGAAAGCGCTGGAGCAGATCGACGAGAACCTCATCTACTGGCCTCGCTTCATCCGACACAAATGCAAGCAGCGCTTCACCAAGATCACGCAGTACTTGATCCGCATGCGCAAGCTCGTCCTCAAGAGGCAGTGAGTATGCCGGCCGTATCTCCAAACGGAACGGAAGTGCGATGCTTTCAAGATGGGAATGGCCGACATTTGATTGAATGAAGTTACGCCCCTCGTAGATTTGATGCAACTAAGTCCTCATAATAAACAGTTGCTGAACCAATCAATCAACTCGCATCAACGTTTAGGAGTGCATAAAAATAAGATGATGGGGGATGGGGTTAGGCGGCCCGATGGTTAGCGCTTCGACCTCACAGTCCAGATGGACCGGGTTCGAATCCAGCTCCGGCCTTCCTGTGTGGAGTTTGCATGTTCTCCTTGTGCCTTCGTGGGTTTTCTCCGGGTACTTCGCTTTCCTCCCACATTCCAAAAACATGCACGGCAGGCTGATTGAACACTCTCAATTGTCCCGCGGTGTGAGTGTGAGCGCGAATGGTTGTTCGTCTCTGTGTGCCCTGCGATTGGCTGGCGACCGGTTCAGGGTGTCCCCCGCCTACTGCCCCACGACGGCTGGGATAGTATGTCTATTTTTTTTAAAGTATCTATACCGAAACTAGAAAGGATGCCAAAATGTTCTTGGCGTGTGGGGGGAAAAATGAAAAAGATGAACAGCGAAATATATCCAAACAATTTTTACTCATTGTTCCAATAAATGTCTACATGTTAACCAACGCAATGAAAGGGAAAGCACGTTTTGTCTGGGGGTGCAACGGGGTGCATTGTGTAACTCGGACCAGCAGAGGTCAGCGTTTGCCGTCTCCTCAGGAGAGGCTCGCATTTGAAAGAAAGAGCCACACTCACGAACACTCACATTTTTGCGTTGTACCGATAAAATAAAACGAAAAGTGCTCATCAAAAGACTTGAGTCAAACGCGAGCGGTGTCCAATCCAACTTCAGGAGGAAGCTGGTTCCCTTGAGCCGCAAGGTTGAGCGTCGGGAGAAGCGCAAGGAGGAAAAAGCTCTGGGGAGGGGGGGGGGGGGGGGGGGGGGGGGGGGGGGACAAAACGGCCCCCCCCGGCAAGCGGGGTTTGAGTTGACGCCGTGGCTTTCTGCGCAGGACGTCGGCAAGAGGGAGTTTGTCGCCGACGACGAGTTGGAAGAGAGCGATCTCAGCGACTTTGAGGTACGAAACGTGACAAGTTCACTCTGCCGGGAAAATCCCGCGTTTGCCTTTTTTTCTTCTCCGCGTTCCTGCTGCCGTGCGGTGAATCCCCTGTGTCGCGTTTTATTGTTATGGAAAGTTCAACTCACTTTGACATAGTTCCTTGCCATCTAGATGCTACGAAAGGGCCCCAAACCACCGCGGTTGTCTGAATGAAGCTGCGCAAGCGGCTTCATCGTCGTCCCGCTGTGTCACAATGCCGCAAGCTGGCAGCAAAACACTACTTTTGTATAAATGAACCTCTGCGACTCACTTAAACGGAGGCGAGGCGCGCCAACAACTTTCAACTCACTTAAAACGGTTCCTTGGTACCAAGATGCCACAAAATGGCGACAAAGCACTACGTTATTGCTTTGGCCGACGTACAAGAACGTTGCAGTTCATTCTTGGCTCCCCTGCTACGTGGCAGCTTTTTAAACCGCCAAATGTTTACGTTCACCATGACAGACGCGAATGCTCTCAGGTGCAATTTCAAATCATTATTGGAGAAATGTGAAAGGCACGAGAAATTGCCAGAATAAGAAAAAAAAAAAAAGTGGGCCACGGGGGCGGGCACATGACCGCATCGTTACTCATTACTTTTATCTGACCGCAGCTCTGAACATTGTCACGTCTGGTTTCAGGACATGAACAATTTGAAGACGAGCAGCGACGAGGAGGATCGGGAGCAAAGCGACGAGGAAATGTCAACTGAGGATGAGGAGCAGACGGAAGCGAAGAAGAGGGCACGGTCACGCGACAAAGGCAAATCTCCCGCCAAGGGCTCGGCGGCGCGCAAGAAGCGGGCGTACGTGGCAATCGAGTACGAGCAGGAAACGGAGCAGCCGGCCGCCAAGAGCTTCGCCGCGTAGGAGCCGCCGGCATCTCGCCCGTCAATCAAACGGAACTGTCACGATCGTGGCTGCGGCACGTCGACTGACTGCACGTGTCGTCCTTGGTCGTCCAAAAGACGCTCACAAGCGCTGCCGCCCGTTGTTTGTTTTCAAGTCATTCTTAAGACGTCAACAAAGCAAATGTTTGCTAATGCGACATCATATGGCAAAAACCTTTGTCTCCAATTCAAAAGAGAAACGTTGACTTTTCTGTGCAAACCAACGTATGTCGCGAGCCAAATGGAGCCGTAACATTGTCGTGATTTTTATTTCACATTTTCTAAAATAAACAAGAATGGAGAACTAATTTTCTCGAATGTTTCGACATCTCAGGGTGGAAATACTGTAGAAATGATCAAATAAATTACAATTGACCAATGAGAAAGTAGAAAATAGAAATGACAATTCTTTCGCATGACTTCCTGCTCTCCGTTTTTTGCTCATCTTTGTTTTCATGACTAAACAAGCAATGGGTCGAATTGGCCCATGTCCCAAAGCAAAATACAAATCGGGAGGCTTCATGATAACTTTTTATTGTCCATTATATCGTAATGAGATGTGACGACATGGCGTAAGACGACCAAACATGGACTCTTATTTATTTTATTTACAAAGATGTGAATCCCTGCACTGGTCGCACGCAGGGCGGGGGGGAAATATGCCTACCGATGTAGGCCACAGTATAAATAAAATCAAACTGTCGCATTTTGATGTTCGATGAGAAAACGGCGCCCCCTAGAGGCTACTAATTCAGCTCATTTAAAAGTGGAGGGGAAAAAAAAAAGGTTAAAAATTCTTTTGCTAGCATACTTTAAAACTGATTTTGTCCGGATTACTGATTTAGGTGGGATTCAACTGTATTGAGACCAAACGGATTACTAGTGGTTCGAAGTAGATGAACATACAATCAGAGGGGACCAAAGTGGAATGACACGGGAATCGAGTAGATTTTGAGTGCCTTAAAGTGTCCAAGACGCAAAGTTTTATTTTTTTAAAGTCAAACATTGGTTGGCTTACACTGAGAGACAAGTGATGATGCCGTCTGAAGGCGGGGCTGCCGTCGACCAATCGGAAAGCAGCAAAAAGTGCAAACAATCTTTCGCGTGACCTTGACGGTACACGGCAGACGGCGCACCCGTGCCCCCAAGAGACGCCAAAAGGCAACGCTACGCCCGTGCTAGTTTAGCATCGGCCACGCGCAGGCTAAAACGTACCCGGAATGCTACATCAGCAGAGACTGTAAGTGAACTAGCATATTTTGGCTCGCTCGAAGATAAGGACTGAGGGGAAACCCCAACGATGTGTGTGTGTGTGTGTGTGTGTAAGTGATCATTGTGTTTATGTTTTAAAAAGTCTGTTTTTCATGATCCTTCAAAAATCTTTTGGTCCCTCATAGGACCACATTTGACTTGTGAGGAGAAGTTTTCCTTTGAAAGATGAAAAAAAGGGGGATGAACCAATAATTGAACAAAACAGAATCAGTGAAACTTCAGATTCTGGTCCGGGATTTGGCAGACTAAGACTGACGAGGCTGAGTGAGGGTCTTCTTGGTCCACATGTCTGGTCTGGAAATGAGACTCTCGCTTCTATTTCAGAAAAATGGCTCTTGGTGGTGGACTGTCTGCTATTAGCGTGATTCTTTCTGGCCCGGACTGAAGGAGACCTGGTTTCAGACGGACTTGGTCCACTTTCATGGTCTGAGAATGAGATTCGAGGTGAACTTTGGACACGAAACGCGTGCAATAGCTTTCACTCCAGAAGAAGCGAAGAAACCTGGTGGACCGACTGGACCCTTGACCCAAATCTGCCACGATTGTAGTTCTTTGTGACCTGGACTAAAGGTGACATGGACCGACGTAGTCCACATTTGTGGTCTGGGAATGAGAGTACACGGGAGAGAAATTCCGGTCCAAAGGAATCCTTCTCGGTGGACCATCTGTATCCTTGTCCCAGTGCGCGATTATTTGGGTTCTTTCTGACCTGGACTGTAGGAGACATGGTTGAGGACCTTGCTTAGTCCAGTTGTCTGGTCTGGAAATGAGACTGGAGGTCAACTTTGGACTTGAAACGTGTGCAAGATCTTCTCTCCCAGTCCAGAAGAAACGTGCCTTGTGGACTGTCTGTCAGGACCCTTTACCGAGTTGGCAATCATTCAAATACATTCCATTCCAGAATGGGAACCCGCTTTTTGGAGCGACCTAATCGACATTAGTGGTCGGGGGATGAGAGTCTCGGGGACTCTGGGCCTGAAGATGTCTGGAAGCCCTCCCCGTGGAGAATCCACATTTCAAATGAATTTTCTGGTCATCTTACTCAGTGTGCGATTATTCCAGTTCTTTCTGTTGCAGGAGAAAGAAAACCCGGTTTAGGACCTTGGGCTCCGTTTTTGGTCTGGAAACGAGAATCTGGTTGACTTCGGACTTGAAACTGATCTTACTCAGTGTGCGATTATTCCAGTTCTTTCTGTCGCAGGCGAAAGAAAACCCGGTTTAGGACCTTGGGCTGGGGTAAGATCTTCCAGTCCACCAGAAAGGATACTTTTGACCGTCTGGGCTCTTTAGCTCGTGTCTTCAATCATTCAAGGTCTTTTTGACCCGGACTGAAGGAGATGGGCTCTTTGGAGCTACAAAAATCCGCCGTGGTATGGGAATGAGAGTTGAAGTGGAGTTTGGACATAAAAAAAAAATGTTTGGAAGCTCTTTCGGTCCAGAAGAAACCCGATGGAGGACAACAGACACTCAGGATGACAGAAAGGACCGCTGATGGTTTTTGAGGTTCTGTGTGAGGACCTCCTGGAATGTGACAGGTCCAATTTCACATCCACGTGCAGGAACAACTTTTATTTCTCTTTTGGGGAATTATGTGACGACGCGAGGGAAGCAGACCTGTATCGAAATGCAATTCCAGCTCGAAGGTTTCGGAATGAGACGTCAGGGATGGATTCGAGTGAGTTCAGAGACATTCCCGACCAGGAGAGCCGGCAAAGCAAAAAAAAAAAAAAAAAAAAAAAAAGCAATGTGTCCATCCTTTGGTCCGTTGGTTGGTTAGCAGCTGCATCCGTCTTTGGGGGGTTGGCTGTCCGCGTTGAGTCGTCCCCCCTGCGGCGCGGATGGCTTGTGCTGCACTCCTGACTCTGCGGCGTTCAGGTCCAAGCTGCCGTCCTGGATGTTCTGGTAGATACGCTTGGCCGCTTCCAGGAAGGCCTCCTCCACGTTCTCGCCTCTGCACCACCACAACATCTCAACGTGTATGTGTGTTTGAGAGAGAGAGAGAGAATAACTGCGAGACCGTGTACTCACGTCTTGGCACTGGCCTCCAGGAAGAGCAAACCTAAAACCACAAGAAGTCAAACAGACCAATCAAGCAGTTGCACTCGTGATGACATCACACAACTTCCCGTCTCGAGCCAATCTTCACACTGAGGAAGACACGCCCTCAAGAGGCTCCCCCAGTCACGAGCGCACCCGTTTAAAACAAATCCACTCATTGAAACGTCACCCAAACGGACATGACAATCGTGGGGGGTTGTTAAAAAGGTGCTCACCGTTCTCGTCGGCAAACTGTTTGGCTTCCTCGTACGTGACGTCTCTCTGCGCCTCCAGGTCGCCTTTGTTGCCGATCAGGATGATCACCTGCGCGCACACGGCAACATGGTGACTTTCAGATACGCACGCTGACAAAATGGCCGGCGGCCCTTTGTTAAGGAAAGAAAAACACACACCATGGTCATGGGAATAACATCTCATAACAATGAATATTCATGTCAAGAAAACTAAAAGATGACAGGAACAGAAATTGAAAATAATTCAACCATAGGGACGTGTTCAACCAAGGCGTGTCCTTTAACTAGCATCGCGGACATCTTCAAACTTGTCGACAGTCCGAAAAGTTGTCACTGTGCCGTTTGGCGACGTGGCGTATAGCACGCTAAACACGGACGGGAGGAAGTGAAGGTGACAGTTGCCTCTGGAGACAACAGACAACCACGTTCGAGGTAAAGGCTACCGAGGCATCGACAAGCAGCTCGACGTTCCTGTGACATCCAGGTGCGTCTTTTCAGAAATGTAAGATCCACGGGAGTGGAGCCTACCTCCCCGGACGCCGTGTCTTTTTGCTACAAAATGTTGAGTAAGAGGGAACCACCTGTCAACCAAAGTCACAAGAACGCTCATAAAACATCAGAGGGTTCAAAGTATTTCGGTGGTGCCTCACCGTGTTGGGGTTGGTCAGGTTCCTGGCGTCCGTCAACCAGCTGCTGAGATGATTGTAGGTGCTTCTCCTGCACAAATCGTTTCCCTCCTGTCACGTGAGCATCAGCTGGTGATGTCATCACAGAACGCCGCCCCCTACCTGGTGATGTCATACACCATGAGGGCCCCGGCGGCCCCCCTGTAGTAAGAGCGGGTGACGGCCCTGAAGCGCTCCTGGCCCGCCGTGTCCCAGATCTGCAGCTTCACCTTCTGGCCGTGGACCTCCATGATCCTGGTGCCAAATTCCACGCCGATGGTGTGAGGGCAGTCGGCCATGACTGCGCACGAGGAGGGCGTCGTTATTTGTCAAGAAAGCGAGTGTATGCGGCGAACCGCTAGCTGGAGCTCGGTTCATTTTTCGCGGTCTCACGATAGTGGATTTGGAAGCAACCGTGTCAGAATTCGGAGTTGCATCTTCAGCATCGCATCATGTTTGGCTTCATCGATGCTAAATTTCGCTCGCCCGTTTATGGCATTTTGCATCACGAGCTACCAATAAGCTAGCTGACTTTTGGAGCATTGAACATTTTGGAGTTTAAATGAAACAACGGCGGATTGCCTTTTGCTTTGTGTGTCAGTTTTACAGCACATGTCACCGATTCCCGGTGAAAAACAGGTTTTCACGATTTGTGAAAGAAAAATAAAGATGTGAAGGACGTACATTTCTTCTCTGTGAACTGGTGCAGTAGACACGACTTGCCCACACCCATGTCACCTTAGAGAATAAGAAAAATAGATGCAAATAAGTCACCTTGACAAGAAAAGCCGAAAAGAATCAAATTGATGCTGCGGAGGGTGTGGTCTTGACGGCTCACCGATGATGATGTATTTGAAGATGTAGGAGTAGTTGTAAGGCGCGGCGGTCATCTTTGCTCCTGTGGAGAAAATTCGAGTTGAACAAAATATCCTCACGAAACTCTGGGACTCTCTTCGACCTTACGTGCGGCATTAACGGGCCATTTCTAAGTGCCAACAAGCTAGGCGGCGAAACCCGAACTCAAGCGTGAGCTCCCAATTTCCACTTTTATTGCCCATTGAACATAAAGGGACATCGTCAACACAACCGAATGCCCCTAAGATGGGGGGGGGGGGGTTTCTTAGGATTAAGGTTTTTTTTTAAACAAAAATGCCAAATTCCCTGTGCTAAATTCGCTAAGCGGCTAGCCGGCTAACAGCTGGAAGTCTATGTAGCGAACAGTTGGGAAACCACGGTTCACAAAGATAAAAGAACAAAGAAATGAAACGTCATGACCTGTTTCAAAGATTTTTCCTTTACCTTCCTGTCCGGGTGTTCGTTTTTGGCGTAAAAAGGTGACAAAGGAGCAGCTACTCGGACGGATAATTAGCTTCGTTTGCTAGCTGTCACGAAGAAGCCTCTTCCTCCTCTTCCGCAATACTTCCTATGCGCCCACCAAAACACGTCAGATATCGCGAGACTTCTTCCGAGAACCCCGTGACTGCATTCCTTGACGAAATTGCCAATGTTTTTTTCTTGAATGAGGAGAATGCTTGGGGCCATTTTGTTGGCACTGTAGTTGACAAACTCGATTGATTCAAATGGCAAGATATGATGTTGCTGTGTATTTTGGAGTGTGTTCAACAATGTTCGTGTGTTTTGAGGTTTTGTGTGCGCTTCTGTGAGCAGCCCATGTTGTGACGTCACGATCGTGACCCCGCCTCTCCTACAACTTCAGAATGAGCAGAGCGGCAAAGCGAGCAGATCACCGAGGAGACGACATCATTTCTCATCTTCTCGTGTTTTCTTCTCGCTGTCACTCTTCTCGTGTTTTTGTTCTTCATCATCTTGGTTGTCATCAGTCATGAGCGTGACGAGCATCATCTGGTGAAAGAGATAACATGGAAAAACAGAAAGGTAAGCATTGCTCACTTTATAAAGGAACACTCATCATGAGAAGAATAACAATCACCAACATGTTGATTGGTGAACAGAGAACGTTCCAAAGTCAGTTTGCCAAGACAACGCAGATTTTTAAAAACGATTGTGGGAATCACTTCTTTCCACTTTGCAGTTGTGTCCTGAAATACAAGTTTAAAACTTTCTTTGACAACGCTTGTGTCATGCTCCTTTGTATCTCAAATCATCTTTCCCTACTGAAATGAATGCCAAGGCAAGTAATCTGTTCCAACCGTCACCGCGGCAAGCCATCTGAACGGTGCATTACCGCCACCAACTGATGACGTTTCTAAGGTTTTTACATTTTCAGCTGACTGTCCGGGAAGAGCTTTTAGTGATTTGATAAAAGGCTCATGCAGTGTCGTCTTGTAAGGTCTGAAGTTCTGACATCCCTTTCACCCATTTCTGAGATCTTCGACGGCTTCTAGAGTCTCTCTGGAAGTCTTGGTGGTTTTGTAGAAATGCTACCGCGAAGTCTCAAGAAGGATTTTCAGGTTGGTTTGAAGGTTGTGGCGCAGTTGCTGAAGGTGTCGTGGTCCACTCGCCTGACTATCGGTTCCTACTCAGTGATGCTGTGGATGTGAATGGTCATTTGTCCCGATATGTGCCCCGCGACTGGCTGGCGACCAGTTCAGGCTGTAGTCTGCCTTCCACCCAAAGTCATCTTGGATAGGCTCCGGCTATTCCCCGCGACCCTCTTCACAATAAGGCGGTGTTGAGAATGGATGGATGAAGGTTGTGGCGATACTTTTTCTCCAAGATGGCGGAGTGTCTTGGAAGTTTTTTAAGGGTTCCTTCAGATGGAATCCCAGAAAGAAGTTCTGGTGTATCATGTTGATGGTTCTATCCCGACGAGACTCTCAGGACCTTTTGAAGGCCATGCTGAAGTCACGTTTGCGCATTTAATGGAAGGATGTATCTGAAGGGGACGCTCCTGACATTTTCAAGACTCTTGCGAAGTGATCTTAGCCGGATTCTCAGAAAAATTCTCGGACCTTCTAAGACCAGCGATGAGTGATCTTTCCAAGGACTATGTAACTTCCACAGATGGTTGTCTGGTCTTAAAAGTCCTGGAGATGTTTCTTGAGGTTTCTTCAAGGGCCCACTGTCGGCTCACCATGATGAAACGAAGGAACGTGTCAGCTGACGCACGTTAAAAAATGCCATCAAAATATTATGGCCTGCGTCCCAGTGGGCGAAGCTTGATGCTGATTGGATGCTGAAAAACATCAACGCACTCTTATTCTTCCGCCTCCTTTTTTTCTTCTTTGCTATATTTAACAAACGCAGGATGAAAGAGAAAGCTGCTCCACACCCTCCGACACGCTCTCACACACACACACACACACACACACACACACACACACACACCGTGGAGAGTTGTGGAGGACTTCCATCTTTGTACTAATTTAAGGCTTTGGTTTTTATGGTAAAGCATCCTAAATCTTACACACAGACACACACACACACACACACTGTATACACAAGTTGCATCGAGTTTAGCTCTTGTTTGACTCTGCCATTGCTTTTGCGTGTTTATGGGCTGTTGCATCAAAGCCGCAAACAGGAAGTGATGTTGATGTTCAGATAAGTGTATGTTTGTGCGTGAGATAACGTGTGTGTGTGTCGTCATCGTCATCGCGATGGCGAAGTGGGTGTCTGTGTGTGTGTGTGTGTGCATGTGTAATGTGCGACACTCTGCTTAAAGCGGCAACAGATCACTGATTAGCAAAATTAGCATCATCTCCCACTCGGACCACTCTCGACACAGTCTGAGTCTGTGTGTGTTTGTGTGTGTGTGTGTGTGTGTGTGTGTGTGTGTGTGTGTGTGTGTCTGTGCGCGGGTGTGCGTGGGAAGGCAGCCATATAACAATGGCCGCCTGTCTTTAACGGTTCGTCGGTAGTTAGTTGTTAGCTAGTTAAGTTAATTGTACTTGTCTTTGTTTGTTTACATGTGGCTAAACGCAATTTTAGAAGAGACCGAGGGAAGATGCCGAAAAGCGGAGAGTGCGGAGCAAAAAAATGTTGATGACTGTTGCTTTCGGAAGATGCCGAAAAGCGGAGAGTGCGGAGCAAAAAAAATGTTGATTACTGTTGCTTTCGGCTACTAGTCTCTACTTGTTCCTGCTGCCCTCATTTTTGGGCTCTACTTGTCTCTTTTGGTCTCTGCTGACATGCTGTGTGATTCGCTGGTGATGATGATGATTTGGTTCACATCTTGTGCAGTGTTGTCCAAGCTGATGTGGGACCTTCAGTCCTTCCTTTCGGTTCTGGACTCCGAGAACCTGAGCTACATCGCTCAGGCCCAGAAGAAGTCCATCTCAGAGCTGGTGTCCTCGCTGCAGCCGCAAGAAGTTCCAGGTTACCTCGTGGCCTCGCTCACCTCCACACCTTGCTCACCATTAGTCGGTTCTCACTTGTGTTGTTTGCTCCTAGTGGAGGACACCGAGTATGTCATCATGAGCTGTCCGTCGTCATCGGCGCCTAGCAACCAGGCATTAAGAGACTCCAAGGTCTGGACGAGAGATGCGGTGAGTCCACCCTGACAAAGCGAAGCCGCAGAGAAGCGTTTGAAGCGGTCGTTATCCTGTCAGACTCCTCATGAAAGTCACGTTTGTAACTGCTACCTGCTAACTATTTAGCTGCTAAATGCTCCACATTTGCCACCTCTTAACTGCTAGCAGCTAACCTTTTACCTGCTAAATGCGTTACCGTTGCCACCTGTTAGCTGGTAACTGCCACTTGCACCGTCCTCAATAAGTGGTGTTTGTGACCAGCTGCTCACTCCGAACAACCTGCTAAATAGTCAACTGTGTTCAACCCAGCTACTAACCGCTAGCTCATCTATTTTGAGAGCCGAGAGAGTCAAAGCCGAGGAAAGTAAACAAAAGACAATTGTGCTGAGAAGAATCCAACACAGGGTTCATATTTGAGGTTCTGGTGCGCCGACTAAGTTCTTGTCAGATGACAGACATGAATGTAGAAAACTGGACCAGAACCACAACCGTTTTTTTTTCTGCGAATGGAGAAACACAGCAGGCTGCTCTGTGATGTGGTCTGCTAATGACAGAGTCCTCCTGAGGTTTGGGAGGAGACGGTGTGTGTGTGTGTGTTGTTGGGGCGGGTGGTGTGGGTGTGGTGGGGTTGTGTGTGTGTGTGTGTGTGTGTGTGTGTGTGTGTGTGTGTGTGTGTCCATCACGAAGACCAGACGCTAATCAGCCGCCATCAGTGACCACTTCCTGTCTCAGCAAAGCTTTCAGCCAATAGGAAGGCAGCTAGATGAGAGATGGCCTCATATATAAACATCCTGTCAAGCACACACACACACACACACACACACACACACACACACACACACACACACACACACATTTACTGAATGTGCACACTCCAGTGAGACAGTTGATCTGTTCCTTATTTATTTATTATCTCATCATCGTGTTCATCATACGAGCACCTAGCCACTTGTTTTATCCACCCTCAAGGTCCCTGCGTCACGGCAATGCCCACCTGGGGGTTCTCAAGCTCCTGGCGGTGATGATGATGAAGACGAAGATACCTACGAAGAGGCACAGCCCTTCCAAGCTGATAGCAACAGTCACATAGGTACGTGCATGCGCACATGCATGCATGCACACACACACACTACACACACACACACACACACGCTGACAGTGACAACTTAGCAACTCCCCAGAGCGAGCTGAGTCGGAGAACAGCTACTACGAGTCATACGGTGAGGATGCCGAGGATGACGACGACGATGATGAAGAGCACATGAAGGACAGAGCTCACTACATCCAGTGGAGTTCCTCTCAGCCTTGTCTCAGGCCCCCTCCCGAATCTCGCCTGTGTGGGTACCTGTGGAGGAGGAAATGGTTGGGACAATGGACCAAGCAGCTCTTCATCATCAGGAACCACCTCCTGCTGGTGTGTGTGTGTGTGTGTCTTAGCTTCATTGTCAGTTTTAGTTTTTATTTACACGTTCATTTTCACTCGCTTTTTTTGAACTTTGAACTTTAATTTTTAATTTTCAATTTTAAATCAGAAATTGTTGTAGTTTTGAAACACCTTTTTACTTTCAATGTATTTTTAATGGAATATGTGTCATGTTTGTTTGTTTTTTTGGGGGGTGGGTAGGGAGGGGGTTAATTTTTAAAGTATTCCAATTCACTTAACAGAGTACTATTAATGTATTTTTCTTTAGAACAGGAATTTTATGAGTATTATTATTTTAGAAATGTTACATATACCAACTCATCAACTCACTATAATTCATTATTATTCAATCATACCTGTACAATTGTTGACTTTTATTTGTGAAAAATGTTGCCATTTGTAGTCACTGTTTTCTGTTTCAGTGCTACAAGTGCGCGCGGGACCTCCTCCCTCATCTCCAGTTGAGTCTGCGTGGCTGCCAGCTGGTCTACAAGCTGAAGAGCAACCGGAAGATTCCGCACCAACTCAAGCTTCTGCTGCTCG